GTGCGCGTTACCACACCCGGCTAATTTTTTGATTTATTGTAGAGATGAAGTCTTGCCAAGTTGCCCAGGCGGGTCTCGAATCCGCGGACTCAGGCAATGTATACTTTCTATATGCGGCATTTTAAGGGATTTGCTCAAGAACATCAAGAATCTTTGTATACAATATTCTTAGCCTCTCGTGTGGAATGTCACATACAGCCAATCCCATGAGGCCAGTGGTCTTCTTCAGCACCCCCACTAATGTAGCCAAAACTCAAATTCTATACAATGCTCTGCTGGTCACGTGGCTAATGTATAGGTACCAACAACTCTGGACTATAAAAGCCTGGAGGGTGAGCAGAAACATTTTAGAAAGATCTCAAGTCTGGCTCTGTTCCCGGGATTTGAACTCAGAAATAAACTTCTTTGTACCAGTTCCCCGCCCTTTTGATTTATCGGCATCAAGGGGAGCAGTCGAGCGTTACTTGAGCTGTAACAGAAGAGCCAAGTCTAAAATAGGAACAGATTCAACTTTTAAATGAAGGATGGAAACAGCCCATTAGACTCCATCTACCGTATGCAGGTGATTTTGGGGGTAGGATCCAGGCATGTGATAGAACAAGAGAAAATACCACAGCTATTCCATTGGCTGCCTGCTCCTCACTGTTGATCAAAGCCCTGTGTGTATCAGACCTCAGGAAGCTGCGTAATTTAGTATTCGTCTTCTGCAAGTTTACTGGGTTATCTGTGGTTTCCAAGATAAAAGTTGCTTAATACGACTTATTAGGTGGTGTAAATGAATGAGTGGCTTAAAGTACACCAGATCCAGCTGGGCTCGGTGGTTCAGCCTGTAATCCCAGCACTTTGAGAGGCCGAGGCAAGTGGATTGTCTGAGCCCGCGGGTTTGAGACCAGCCTGGGCAACAATAAATCAACAAAATTTATTGTCTCTACAATAAATCAAAAGTGAGCTGGGAGTGGTAGCACGTGCCTGTAGTTTCGGCTACTCAGAAGACTGAGGCAGAAGAATAATCGGAGCCCAGTAGGTCGACGCTGGGGTGGCTGTGAGTGTGCCACTGCACTCCAGCCTGGGCAATGGGGTGAGACTCCAACTCAAAAAAGAAAAGTACACTCGATCCAGTTTACAACACAATTTAAAAGGTTGCTACCTTTACATGACAGGCTAGTCAATGATGGCTATGTACATTATGTAATATCACTACAGCTAGGATCTTGTTTGAACTTTGTATCAGAATTTCTGTTCATAAAGTTTAACCCAAATTACTATTATCTGTGAAGTTGAAACAAAACTAAAGATTTAATTCATATTAATAGGTAACATTCACTGAGAGACCATGTTCTAGGTACTGGACTAAATGCCTTATATGTATTTATTAATTTAATCCTTAAAACTACCCTGTGAGGCTGGTTCTATAATTAGTCCACTATACTTAGGAGGAAACTGAGTCACAAGAGTTTTAGTAACTAAAATTGAGACCTACATGCTGGGAAATGGCCTCAGGGCCAACACCCTTAACTGCTCTGCCAGACCACCTCAAGTAACACTTTGGTTCCTTTCTTCCAATACTTGTCTGTTAATAATTGCTACTTCAATTTTGCCTTATTTCACCATACTTTAATAGAGTTTTTCTCTTAACTTATTCTTTACTTTTATGTTTCTGGATGCAGAGAAACCTCTCTCTATGGGAGTGCAAGACATTTTGGCATTAAAATTCCTGCAAGAAACTCTCATCACTCCAATGTTCATCAATAGACCAGATTAAAAAATAAACCTGCCTCATGCAATATATGGGAATAAATGAATAAATGAAAGTGTAGCTTTAGGACTACTCTTTCAGTCTATATTCTTGGGTTTCCTCTCCCTCTGAATTTTTTTTTTTTTTTTTTGAGTTGGAGTCTCACTCTGTCGCCCAGACTGTAGTGCAGTGGCCGCTCCTGGCCACCGCAGCCTCGACCTGCTGGGCTCCGGCGATCCTTCCGCCTCAGCCTTCCGAGTAGCCAGAATTACAGGCGCATGCTACCATGCCCGGCTGATTTTTTATTTAGTAGAGATGAGGTCTCGCTGCCCAGGCGGGTCTTGAACCCGCAGGCCCAGGCAATCCACTCACCTCAGCCTCCCAAAGGCGCGGGATTACAGGCTGAGCCACCGAGTCCGGCTTCCCTCTGAATTTTTATCTATAGGTACTGGAAGTAAAACTTCATGGACACAGACTTCTGAGTCCTGCAGTCAGTCCCCAGTGACTTGAGAGAAAGACTCCTGGTAGTGAAGAGGATAATGAATGGGAACTTGGAGACCAGGGTCCAGCTTGCTTCCATCACTTGGTGTTCAAGACCGTGGCAAGTGCCCACTGGCTCTGAGACTCAAGTCACTCACCTGTCAGAAAAGGTTGTCAGTTCAGAAGTGGATCTTCAAGCCCTCTTCTACCCTGACACTCTAGATTTAGGTAAAACAGTTCAGACCTGCCACACACACAAGTGGGGGTGGAGAGCAGAGAGTATCATATGAACAGCACACTTCTGTGTGCATGTCCTAGGCTGAATTAGTAGACTCTTCCCATCAGTGGAGAGTTTTTGTGCACCCCTGACTCCAGTCCCTGGAGCTACTATGGCATTGAGACCCCTGAGCCTTGCAGAAACTTCCTGGAAGCTCAGCTTATGCATTTTGGGCATTTGGGTTGGACCCTCAGGCAAGTGTAGAGTTGGGCAGGGGCAGCAGTAGTATGCAAAGTGCCACAGTCAGCAGTGCAGTCTAGCACAGCAAATCCCGTAGCACAGTGCTGGGCATCTGAGAAAGTCCTCTAGAAATGCCAGCTGGAATTGGTAATGTAGTAGAATAGAGAAAAAACACAGAGCAGACCACCTGGTGGGAAGCAAGGCTTTGACCTGTCTCTGGATCGGCTTGGCACAGAGCCAGCATTGATGGGAAGCTGGCCCTGCTGTTTATGACCAGGGAACATGTCTGACATCAGACTTGGCAAGGCCCTGTTGAGAAATCAGTGATGTGTTTGTCTTCTCCGGGAAGGTGCCTAGTTCACGTCTCTAAAGCTGTCGAGGGAGGAACCTTGAGTTGGTACTGTGATCTCTGCTCCTCCCATTTCCCCTTCCATCCCCCATAGCTGCTCTACTTTGGGAAGATGGAATGGTCAGGGAAAGGCTCCAAGCCAAGGTCACTTTCCTTTTGGCTAGGGGCCAGCAGGAGCTGGGGGTCTGGGGGCTGGAAGTGTACATGGAGAGAGAGAGAAAGCAGGGAACACACCTGCAAGGGAAAGAATCACCCCATAAACAATTCAAATTCCAGCAGGGCATTTCTCATCTCCAGTTTGAGTAGCTCTGCAGTCATCGTTTTTGGATCAGTGGGCTTTGACTTGATCAGTCATCTGGTGTTCCAGATTCCTGTGTGAACTCCCTTGTCCTCTGGTTTCCGAGCTCAGCCAATGGGAACCCTGATAGGAACTCAGGATGAGCTCAGTCAATGGGAATCCTGGTAGAGGGTTGGGTTGAGCTCAACCAAGGGGACACTTAGTGAGAGACTGGACTGAGTACAGCCAATGGAAACCCTGATAGAAAAAGCTTCAAGAATTCTGAGAAGTGTCAAGTTAGGGCATTTACTTCCTCAGCCCTATCCCCGCTGGCTGCTGGAGTTGGCACTTGTCAGGCAACCTTCATCATATTGCTCTCTCTCTAGGCTTCTGTTGGGGCGTCTCACTTTGTTGCTTCAGCCCTGGGAAGAGTAACAGCTCTTTAGTCTCACTGGCTTTGGGGTACCACACTCTCATTACTTCCCCCAAACTCTTCCCACACTTTTGTTCAAGGTCCTTTTATTCAACTTTCACCAAATTTGATAAAACTCTCTCTTGCCCAGCCCAAGTGTGCCATCTTGTTCCTGACAGAACCCTGGTTCATTCAGGGGTTGTTCACAAATCCATGTTTTAAGCAAAAAACCCACGTTAAACATGGCACATTTCACAAATGCTGCTCCATGGCCATCCAATGCTGCCGCGTTCTTTTTTTGGTCTAAGATCAACAAACTCCCTATTGCTTCACTCATTGGAGACTAAGATGATGTCTTTCAAAGAGTGACTTTACCATGAAATTAAGCTAAAAAAAGTCTCATATTGTCCAATGAGAGAATATAAGACATAGAAATGGGCATGTCCACAAAGTCTAGCCTCTGTGTCTGTAAGGAGGCCGACACTCATGCCTGCTTGGCAGGCCCTCCTCACAACCACCCCCCACTCCTTCATTTTGGGAAACATCCAGCCCCAACCAAATAAATGAACATTATGCAAAACTGTATGAATGGATCATGATATTACTCCACACTCCAATTCTTCTTACCAGCAATAACTCCTGTGGACAGCTTGGTGTATATCCTCTCAGACATTTTTCTGAACAAGGCAGCATTGGATGGCCATGGAGCAGCATTTGTAAAATGTGTCATGTTTAACATGGGCTCCTTGCTTAAAACATAGATCTGTGAACAACACCTGAAAGAACCAGGGTTCTGTCAGGAACAAGATGGAACACTTGAGCTGGGCAAGGAGAGAGTTTTATCAAATTTGGTAACACGTATTATGGTGTTTTTTTTACACAAATGAGTAAGTCATTTACTACATATGCTGTTTTACCTTCTTTTTCTTCTTGCTGAAATTTTAAACAGTTTATTTGAGCAAACAACAGTTCCTGAGTCATCTACCTTCCTTTTTCATTCAGTATTATTTCTTGAAGATCTTTCCATGTTCATTCACATAATTACCTCATTACTTTTTAAGATTTTTTTTTAAAAATAGCTATTGAGTTATCATTAACCTACTATAAGAGTCACAATCTGTCTTAACGAAACAATCCAGTGATTTTTAGTGGACTAACAGAATTGTGAAACCTTCCCCATAGTCCAGATTTAGAATATTTCTATCTCTCCAAAAAAAATCTTTGTGGCTGTTTGCAGCCAACCCTTGTTCCCACTCCAACCCCAAGCAGCTACTCAAGTGTTTTTTGTCTTTCTAGATTTGCCTTTTTTGGAAATTTTATGTAAGTGAAATAATACAATATGTAGTCTCCTGTTCTGCTTCTTCCACTTAGCATAATGTTTTAAACATTATTTTCAAACCACCGCATTTGATTTATTCCATAGGGTAGATGCCTTCTCCTGGGTAGTCTAACCTATTCCCTATTGATGAGCATTTAGATTTTTTTCGAAGTTCTGACTTTTATAAAATAACACTGCGATGAATATCCTGTATACATTTATTTGTTCACCTAGGTGGATATTTCTGCAGGATAGGTTTGTAGTGGTATAATTCCTGGTTCAGAGATTGTGTGCGTTAAAGCAGATATCATTAAATTGTCTTCTCTAAAGGTTGTACCTATTTCCTATCCTGGTGAGTAATTATATCTTCTAATCTGGTGAATTCTGACCTCCAGACTACTGTATGCAAAAGCCTAAACTCCATACCCTGAAGTGGCTTCTGGGAATGACTGGAAATGAGTTCCCATTGTTCTTCTTATCACTTTTTCCTTATTTTAATGATTAAAAACATTTTTACTGTGAATAGCATGCATACTACAGGTTACAGAAAACTTACATTTATAGCCTAAAAAATAGTAATACAATGATTCCCAGGCATCCATAGTGTAAGATAAGAACAAGGACATAGCTGGGCTCAGTGGCTCAGCCTGTAATCCCGCGCTTTGGGAGGCTGAGGTGAGTGGATTGCCTGAGCCCGCGGGTTTGAGACCCGCCTGGGCAACTTGGTGAGACCTCATCTCTACAATAAATCAAAAAATTAGCCGGGCGTGGTAGCGCGCACCTGTAGTTCCAGCTACTTGGAAGGCTGAGGCGGAAGGATTGCCGGAGCCCAGCAGGTCGAGGCTGAGGTGGCCGGGAGTGGCCACTTAAAAGACCCAGTGTGCTCCTCCTTTCCCCACCCCGTAACAAATATCATCTGAACCTTTGTGGTAATCATTCCTTTTACTCAGGGTTTGCACCTATGTTTGTGTAAAGGATTTGTATTAAGTTAACATAGCTGAGATGAAACTGTGTTTCTCCAAAATTCTCTTCCCATTTCCAGGTCAGCATGGGCCAGAAGAGATCCTGGATGTGAGATCTGGAAGGCAGAAGTGGAGTAGCCATGTTCTATTTAAGCACAGGAAGGTCAGTGCCAGACACCACCGGGTGTTGTAGATTATCTGCTGGTTTGACTGTCACCACTCGAAAAGGAAGATATCTGGTAAAAACAAAACTGAACTAAGGATTTATTCCAGTTCTACTACTGTCCAGCCATAAGATTTTGACCAGGTTGCTTTGCTCAGGCCTCAGTTCCTTATTTAAGAATTGAAATGGGTGACCTGGGATCATTAGGCCTCTTTGACTCTGCTATTGCATGGTAGTGTGGTTCTCCATGGGTCTGCATATGATGAGTTTGAATGTGTAAACTGGAGTATTTAGTGTCACCCCCAAAATACTGGAGGTTGTCTTAATTAATGCTGCAGAATCTGGAGATTTGTAGTAGACAGAGATATCATTAAATCAGGCAGACATAGGGTGTGGTGGCTTATGCCTGTAATCCCAGCACTTTGGGAGGCCAAGGTGGGAAAAGTGCTTGAACCCAGGAGTTCCAGGCCAGTTAGACAACATAGCGAGACCTTGTCTCTCCAAAAAAAAAAAAAAAAAACTTAGCTGGCCGTGATGACTTGTACTTGTAGTCCCTGTTACTCAGGAGGCTGAGGTTGTGGTAACTATCATTGTGCATTCCAGTCTGGGCAACAGAGTGCGATTCCAACTTAAAAAAACAAAAAGAAAAAAAAAAAAAACCAAAAAACCCCAACTACGACAGACAGATTAAAAAAAAGACAGATGGTGTTAGTGGAAGTAGAGTACATAGAGAAAGACCAGTTTAGATTGAGCAGACGAATCTAGGCAGAGAGGTGCTGGACACTGAGATGGTGAGACTCAGACCCAGAAACAATATCTGAGGGAAGAAAGAAATCAACAGCTCAAAGGCAGGCCCCAGATTTGTTTGTCCTAGTGATGGCTTTGGCTTTGTGGTGGGGGGCGGGGGAGAGAGAGAGAGAGAGAGAGAGAGAGAGAGAGAGAGAGAGAGAGAGAGAGAGAGAGAGAGAGAGACTGAGAGAGAGAGAAGGAGAGAGAGAGATGAGTAGTAACAGAGTTCAATGCAATTCAATCTTCTGGGCTTGCTTTATTCTCATTTTCCTTGTAGAACCATGTTTCCTTCAGCCCTTGTTAGAGGAGGAGAGAGTAGAGTTCTAGAACCAGAGTGAAACTTAATTTGGCCTCCTCCCTCTGCGACTCATCTCAGAGAGCCATGTGCTCCATCCGCCCTGCTCAGGTAGATTACTGGTCCCTCTGGCAACTTGGGTGTTTACTAAATACACGTTCTCCTGCATTTTCCTCCCAGTGAATCAGATGCCGTTCTGAAGGCTTGGCTGGAGTAGCTGAGTCACACTTGATCCTGAGGTTAGCACAGTGTGTGGCATAGAATGAGCAGGAACAAGGGATTGTAGTTGCTAAATTAATTCTGCTTGCTGAATGTCATAGGAAAAGCACTTTCGTGGCTTCAGAATGGAGGTTCTTGGCCCCTGAAGCCTTCTAGCTCAGAGGGGTGCTCCTGCCTCCCTGTTGTCTCCTAGATTTAGTGCTAAGGTAGTTGTTAACCTGAAGGGGAGAGTGGAAGTTAAATTACTCTTGTTTTCTTACTTCCTCTGCAGGCTACTCAGAGCCAGAGCCCCTCTTGGCCAAAGACCCTCCAGAGACAAGCCCCAGGGACGGGAGTTCCTCCAGGGTGGGGTGCTGTCTGCTTTGGTTGCTGCTATATCCTAACCCCCGGAACAGTCAGCACTCAATGCTGTTGAAGGGGAGATTCTAATCCTTTTTTTCTCCCAGTGACACTATAAACCAAATCCCCATTCCTCACTTTGGCTCTCTTGTCAAACCCTGAATGACGGGTGTGTGTGTTTTGGGTGGGAGAGAGGGGAGAGTGAGGGAGACGCACAGTGGGCAATGCTGGCTGAGCTGGGGGACAGTCTCTGCTTTCCTGCTACCCAGTCAGGTGATCTGTGAGCTCCCCGAACCCTCCCAGCCTTCTAAGCCCCACCCTTGACAAGCCCGGCTACTGTTTCATCCAAGGACATGAGAAGCCCCAGAGGATTCCGGAACCCATTTCTTTCTGTGACACACGGCCCACAGTGGAGGCCAGGGCTGGGATGGGGGTGGGAAGACTGGGCTGGCCTCTACTCCAATCTTGCTCTCTATGGACATACAAGTAGTGAAGGGGGATTTACCTCTTGTGAAGACTCTCACCGGGACCTCTGGTCACCCCTGGCCTGCCTCTCTGTAGCTCTTTGAATGCTTTGGGTTAGAAGTAACAACAACAAAACCAAAGTAAAAGTGGTTTGTACAAAAAAAGATATTTAATAATCTCACCTAACAAGGAGTTATAGATAGGTGGTTTTTGCCTTGGCTCAGTGGGGCCCAGGTATTTTGGGGCCCAGGTATTTATTTTTAATTGAGATAAATATAAAAATAAAAATTTACCATTTTAATCATTGTAAGTGTACAATTTAGTGGCATTAAGTACTTTTATATTATACAATGATTACTACTGTCCATCTTCAGAACTTTTTCATCTTCGCAAACATATATACTCTACCATTAAACAATAATTCCCATTCTCCCCTCCTCCCAGCCCTGGGAACCACTATTCTGCTTTCAGGCCCTGTGAATTTGACTACTTCACTGACCTACAGAAGTGGAACCATACAATATTTGTTCTTTTCTATCTGGCTCATTTCACTTAGCATAATGTTTTCGAGGTTCCTCCATGTTGTAACATATATCTGGACTTCATTCCTTTGTAAGGCTGAATGATGCTTCCTTATGTATAGACCACGTTTTTTCATCCTTCATTCACTGATGAACATTTGGGTTGTTTCTGTATTTTGGCTCTTGTGAATAATGCTGCTATAAACATGGGTGCGTAAATATCTACTGTAGTCCCTGCTATCAGCTCTTCTGGGTATATTCCCAGAAATGGAATTGCAGGATCCTGTGGAATTATATAATTATGTAGTCAATGTTTTGGGAAAGTTGTCATACTGAACTCCACAGAGGCTGCACCATTTTACCTTCCACCAGTGATATACAAGTCTTCACATTTCTCTACATCCTCACCAACACTTGCTGTTTTATGACTTTTTTTCTTTTGTTAGTAACCATCCTAATGAGTGTGAAGTGCTATCTCAGTGGGGTTTTGATTTCCTCCTCCTCCTCCTCTTTCTTATTCAGAGACAGGGTCTTGCTCTGTTACCCAGGCTGGAGTGCAGTGGTGTTCATTAAAAGCTCAAACTCCTGGGTTCAGGCAATCCTTCCATCTCAGCCTCCTGAGTAGCTAAGACTACAGGCATGCACCACCATGCCTGGCTAATTTTTAAATTTTTTTGTAGAGACAGGGGTCTTATTATGTTGTCCAGGCTGGTCTTGAACGCTTTGCCATAAATGATCCTCTTGCTTTGGCCTCCAAAGTGCTGGTATTCTAGGCATGATCCACCTTGCCTGGCCAGATTTGCACTTATTAGATCACAGAGTGCCATGAGCCCAGAGCCAAGATGGATGGAGCTCTAGCGTGTGGCATAGTAATTATGGTAAGTGGGGGAGGGGATGGGGGGCACCAGAGCAGCCTTTCTAGTCTGGGAAGGATGTGGCCTCCACTCTTTTCTGTAACCACAGTGAGGGCTGCCTTGACACTCAGACTGTGAACAGCCAGTGGACATGAGGCTTGGAACGGGACACAGGGGAAGACCCCAAGGGACTGTATACAGGCAGGTGGTCTTAGAGGGTAGTGGAAGTGTTCCCCGACGATGAGCCAACAAAGGAAGGTCTGCCCTCCTTGGCCAAGAACTCCTTGCTGACCAGGCCATGAGTGGCCAGGATCCTGAGGAGTCCGTGGCGAAACTTTTGGCCAATGAAGGCGTAGATGAGGGGGTTGAGGCAGCTGTGGAGGAAGCCCAGAATCTCGGTGGCTTCCAGGGCCCGGTCGAT